CCCCCCCATTATACTGTCATCCCCATTTACCGCCAGGTTTTGTATATTTTCTCTGCTGTACTGCCAGCCAAGTGGGCACCAGGGCCACACACATCACATAGCACCCACTCGTTGGCTGCTTGATAAACTCTCTCAAACTCGCAACCGTAAGGTCGTGGATTCAAATCCTATCCGGGACCCAATGTTGTGTCCTTGGGAAAAGCACTTTAGCGTTTGTTACCGATTTGCTCTGATTCTGAAAATGCTATTGCGTTTATGCTTTGGCTTATAGTATTTTATTTCTGAAATTGGAATAAAATTTTTAAGTGGCTTAAAAAACTACAAAAGAACTGCGCCATCTTGGCCTGTCTGCAAACTTGAAAATATCTGGTGAGGCCAGATCTCAACCCGATGACCAAAAGGCTGGTGGGCGCCCACAGGGCTTTTATTTTGTGTGGACTGACGCTGTACATGAAGGAGGTACACCAGGACTGACGCTGTACATGAAGGAGGTACACCAGGACTGACACTGTACATGAAGGAGGTACACCAGGACTGACGCTGTACATGAAGGAGGTACACCAGGACTGACACTGTACATGAAGGAGGTACACCAGGACTGACGCTGTACTGTACATGAAGGAGGTACACCAGGACTGACGCTGTACTGTACATGAAGGAGGTACACCAGGACTGACACTGTACTGTACATGAAGGAGGTACACCAGGACTGGCGAGTATCAGGGAGTAATAAAACACTATGCCTGCACAAGATCCCGGACACATTTATATAAGGCTCAGCTTCTGATCCCGCATAAATTTTCAAATTGAACGTACATAAAGTTCAGCTGGAGCTGTACATGTACATGTACGTGGTTTTTGCTTTGTTTGTTCCCTCCACATTGCAGTCACACAAGACAAATATATTGCAAGATGAGTCAAAACTGGCTACAGTTAAATTGTCGCTAATATTTACCAGTTTACCACTAGTCAACACGGCAATCCGTGTTTGTACCGCCAGCCCCGCTATGCCCCCAACTTCACGCTCATCCCAAGGTAGGCAGTATAATGGGGTTTATATATATATAATATATTATTATTATATATATATATATATATATATATATATAGTCTAGGGTTACTCAAAAGAGCCAGTTATAGCATCTACAAGTAACAAAATGAGTAAGTTGTAACCACTTTACAACTGAGAAGAAAGATTTGAAAAAGACTACTCTAATATAAGCACACTACTAGAACTGGATTTTCCCCCCCTAAGATATAGACAAACAAAAAGGCGACTAACTAAGTCTGGTCTATCAACACTCACCACCACTCGAGCAGATCGGACAGTTCTTTGAACCTTTTCAAGATACATCATAATCATGTTTAAAAGGGGAGAAGAGAAAATATTCTGTCTACCACAAACTCATAAAAAGAGCATAAAACCTTTGTTGGAAATTGTTTAGTTTTCATCAAAGCAAACTTTTCCAACTCAAACAAAGCAATTATCAGAAGACAACAAAAGTGACAATGTCTGGCCCTTCCACCTCATAACAGCATGCAGACAACAAAAGAAACAGAAGCAATTAAAATAAGAAACCAAAATCATAAAGAAAATTGGTAGTTAATCCAAGATTTAAACTTGCTAGCTCTTCCTTTTTAGTATGAGCCCAAAATTATGCACGGTCGATCTGCAAGCCCAAACCCTATCCAGACAGAAACCTGTCAGAACAGTGGTCTATAAATGAGATGTCATCTAATTGGTCAAACAGTGGTCCTCTCATGAGATGTCATCTAATTGGTCAAACAGTGGTCCTATCATGAGATGTCATCTAATTGGTCAAACAGTGGTCCTCTCATGAGATGATCAGAGATGCCAGCACTGGTGGCCACACCATTCTCACAGAGGTTGGGATAGCACTTGGAAGGTGTACACAGTTTGTGACCAGTGA